CTTAAAATATGAATATGAAGATACTAAATGTATGAGCTCGTAGTTTTGTTTAATCCTATTACCAGTAGAATAGCTGTTAAAGAGACAGACAGACAGAAAGAATTGTCATGGTTTTCACTTCTTGTCCCTGCAGACCCAGCAGGGCAGAGTCTTTGAGTGAAGAGTCTTTGCTGAAATCCCCTGATGCTGACTCTAGTATCCAACGCATGGATGCCTCAGTGCTGTGTTCTGCATCTCCCTTTCAGCAGGATGATGCTCAGCTCAACCACGTGTATGCCCTAAAATACCACAAAGAAGTACAATTAGCTCTCATTCTTTGGGTTTTGCACCTTGTCTGCTTGATCTTCATCCAGCCTCAGATTTCAAGAATAACAATCCAGGCTTGTTCCTCTGAATGGCTGTCATGGTCTATTCCTGCAATGTCTTATATCCTGGAATATTGCAGGATAATGTGCCAAACATTCCAGTCCAGATTTTCCAGAGTATCTAAATTAATTTACAGTTATACTTTTATAAGAGCCTTGGGATACTGAGCCCTTAAACATTAAAGGTTTCTTCTCTTTTTCCCTGCTGGACAGCCTGAGTTTGAAGGGAGACTGCCCTTTAAGGGGAATTAGTACTTTGTTATCAGATTTATTGAACGTACAAATGCTGTCTGTCTTTCTCTGTGAACAACTAGCAGTAGCAATCCCCATAAAAAGTGAACTCTACTAAATTTCTTTTGATAAATGTCTACTTTCCGCTAGAAAGTCTTACAGCTCGTACTACTAGTGACTGGGATTGTTTTGAAACTGGCTCACTGATCTTAACTTCCAGTTTCCTGACTGAATAATGATACTGGCTGGCAACTTTAATGCCAGGATGGGAGGCGGCAATAAGGCTCTTTTACAGCATTATAATGTCACCTATTCTTTATTTGGGGAGATTCCATGGAAGTCCAAGGACTGTGGCATTAACTCAGGGGTAGAGATGGTTTACAACAAAATCTACAAAAACATCTAAATCTAGTGGCTATATATTTCATTGCAAAGATTGCAGGGTAGATTTTCATTTGGGGACTGATCACCTACCATTACTGGGAATGTTCACCTCCATAAGAAGTGAGCAGAGCCACCAGCAGTCTCTTAAGAATTTACCCATTAATGGCAGGTATCTTAGATCAATGTGGATATGTAAGCTGGCTTTGGCCATAACGCAGTTTTTCAATGCTCCACAAACTACCCACCTAAATCAGTCACTACTTGCTTCAAATAACCATCCTGAAATAATCTCAATTTTTCAAAGTCTCATTAGCTTTGCTCAAAAGTATATTCAACCTACTCCAGCCTCATTCTCATACCAATCCACTAAGGGATCCCAATCCTGGTATGATAAGGAATGTATTTTAATTAAAGCCCAGGTAGCACTATCATATAGGATGGCCAGAACAGCTAATGATTTTAATACCTGTGAATTTTTTTACTCACTATAGCACAATAGAGCTATAACAGGTGAATAGAGAAAAAGGTTGGGCCAGGATACAGTAGGTTGTGATGAACAAAGATCATCATCTGTTTTGGCAGCTTGTTTCTAAATCTACAGCTAACATAAACTCCAATAATCATAATCATACAGTTCCTCTTCATACTTGGTCCAGACATGTCTGAGGTATTTTTACTGTCTCAAGATAGTATCCCCAATATTCAGTCATTAGATGATCCAATCCAGAGTGCCTTCAATATCTTTTGCTAAGATTCAAAAATGAGTTGTTAAAAAAAAAAAAAAAAAAATCCTTGCAAATATTTAATTCCACCTGAATTTTTAAAGCTAAATCTAACATGGTGGGAATCAGTGTTAGCCCTTCTCTTCACTTCCATAAATCTATATGAATACCCAAGGAATGGCTTAATTCCATAACACTCTCAATATATAAAAAGGGAGATAGGTGTGACCCTGCTAATTATCACCCAGTCTTCTTTCAGAAATTAGTAAACTAAATGCCAGGTTTTATATCATAAACTTTCAGATTGGCTACACTATGAGAATATTTTAGTGCCTGAGCAGGCCAGTTTCAGATCTGGATACTTTACAATGAACCAGCATATAATTCCGTATCATTTAGCGGAGAAATACTATAATCTCCCAAACGGAACCCTCTACACTTCCGTCTTAGATCTAAAGGTGGGTTTTGATTTTATACCCTGACAGAAACTCTGGAGAAAATTAGTAGCCTCAGTAATGGATTGTCATCTCCTCAAATTGATTATACCATTACATCAAGGCACTGTCACACTGGTCAAGGAATAGCAATGGGAACTTAACAGAGATTGTTCTTACCTGTAAGGGAGTCAAGCAAAGGTGCACTTTTGCCCCTCTTGCTGTTTAACCTCTATATTAACAATATAGGTGAGTTTTTTGCAATCCAGACTTTCATCTTTCATCTCTAGCCAGTTGCCCCATGTCTTGCTCTTTAGTATGTGGATGATGCAGCCATTCTCTCTATATCAAAAGTCAGGCTGCACAAGTTGGCATGTTTTAGAGCATTATCGGCCTATTGTGATAGAGAATGCTTCAAAATAAATCACTAAAAAACAAAAGGCCTGGTATTTTCAAGAAAACACTTCAACTCCTTGGCTAGATGGATGATAAATGGAAGATCTGTCAAGCAGATAAGTAAGATAAATGAGATTAAGCATCATGTCAGTTGGATGTCTTAATCTGCTGGGTCAGTTCCTTCCTTTCTTTGTGGTTGTCAGCATGCATTTTTATTTCAATTTCAGACGACTGTTGTTTCCCAAAACAGCTCAGATCTCTTAAAAAAAAAAGAGAAGCAAGCCTCAATCTTTAGGATCTCAGAAGTACCCTTTAGAGGAGAAACCACAAAGTGCCTAATGGCATCTTAATACCCAAAAGGTATTGCAAAAGACTGACAGAGCTATCCCTGTGGAAATTATTTGTGTGAGCTAAAGGTAAGCAAGCTTACAGCAGCCTTCTGTAAGGAATCAGGTTGGCTTCCTTCACATTGCCATGATGTTCTTCCTGGAAGACAGGGAGAGCCATTTCCAATGGTTCATTGGCAGATGGATGACGCTAAGATATGCTGCCCTACAATTATCTGGATTTAAGAGAATTTTTGAAGAAACGTTTATTGGACAAAAAAAGTGTTTCCCTTTTCCTATCCTGACCTAGTCAATGGTAAAGCAATGAATAATTTGATTTCCTCTGTATGCTATTGCCTATATTCAAGCAGAGATGTCTTTTATAACCTCATTTTATTTTGTCAATTTGTATTAGATGCTTAGGATCTAATGCTCAAACTCTCTTGTGCAAAGAAGTCTATGGAAGTTTCAGTCCCAGCAAAAATGTTATTTGATAAATTCATACTCCTGCAAATCCGAAGCCTACTTTTCTTTTTTAAAAGAATTCTCATTCTTTGTAAAACACCTTGCATGGTTTCCTCAGTGCTTTCTTTACGTGCCACGAGAGATCTCAGTGGCTAGTTGCAAACATTTGTAAATCTAATTCACTTAGATATATTTATAATTTATATCCTGCATTTCAGATGAGATTAGTTCCCAAAGTAACATTAATAAAACCAAGATCATAAGGGGAAGTTGGGACAATGCATTAAAAGGAAACAAAACCAAAAATGCTTGCTAAGAGTAAACAAGGGAGGTATTTATGCAAATAAAGTGAGCTTTACTGGAAGTGGAAACAGCTGAGAGGAGGTTGGAAAGCTGCAAAAAGATTTTGATGCTCAGGGGCTACATTTCAAGATGAGAGACTTCTCAATGGAGGGTGACAATGTACATTTATGAAGAGGAAATGTGCTGAGGCATCAGCCTGCCTGATAGTTATGCTTCCAAACCTGGAAAGTACTTAATCCTAATACTAGATTTCTATAGGTTTGCTGTTACTACACAGTATTGGGTGAAAAAAAATCTGATCCCAAGTTCTCTCTGATATTCTTGCTGAGCCCTGATAGGAGTTTTGTGACAAATGTTTACTTCAGATTAAATCATATCTTTTAACAAGCAAAAACCACACTTACGCTAAGCACTCTTCTTTTAGCATAAGGGTGAACTACATCCTGCCCCAAGGCCCCTCAGATAACATCTGAAAATTAGTACTGGGGCCTTCTGCCATTTTGGTCGAGAAACACATGAAATCTATAGTGTAGGTCATAAAATTGCCTTAACATAGCTTAAAGGAAACAAAGGCCTACTGCAAAACTCTTAAAGCATTCTCCAAACCAAACATCTCAGTACTGCTGATTTGCATTGTTACCATTTATTAGCCTGCTCCCAAGTATTAAGTTTCGGTGGCCCTCAGCCACCAAAAAGTTGTTTGCTACTGTTCTAGGTTAAAAAGCTATAGTTGACATGGTGACCATGAGGAAAACCAATATGAAAATGCATGAAGGCACCTTTATTGAAGTTGTACAAAATTGTTACTAGATGATAAATGTTTTTCATCAAGCATGTGGGTAGGAAAGAAAAGAGGGTGGGAAAAAAAGCATGGCTAGTCATGGAGTCATGTTTTTTCCAGCTTCCCATGGTTAGATAGAATGATGGGGATTTTCAGATGTGCAGATGGGTTCTTCACTGGTGCTGAGTAGCAGTACATCCTCTGAAAGCTTGCTATATGGATTTTGGATCTTCTAGCATGACACAGATATCTTATAATTTCCAGCTGACTTCCATGTAGCTGTGGCTAATCCCCATATAATGTTGCACTGCACTGCATTGCTCAGTGGCTTGGTAGAATATTTGTTTTGGGCACTTTCTGTTGCACTGTGTCTGTTCCTTCAGATCACTCCAAGCCGATAACCTTTGAAATGGAGAATGTTTGCAAAGCATGGAGCACTGCACCACTTAGAGGCAAAGAGGGATATTGCTTGCATAGCAGTGCCAAAGGAAATATTTTTTTCTGACATCGGGGTGATAGGATCAAATCCAGTTACCTGAACTTTCCTGCTCCTGGAACTAAAGAGTGAGGTTTCATGTGTTCTGAAGACTGGCATGGCTGCCATACATATGGGCTATAGTAAAATGGCTTTGGAGAAAGGGAGCCTGGGAAATGACATTTTCAGCTTGGTAACCCAGGCTCCAGGCAAGAAATTTTAAACAAATTTAGGTTTTGGATTATCTATAGATGTAAATAAATAAATAAATGATAGCATTTTCTACCAACCTCTCTGTGCTTCTCCGTAGATCTCCTGACTCAACTGATCAAGCGTCAAGAT